TATATATATATATATATATATATATATATATATATATATATATATATGATATACAAAATATAATATTTACAAAATAAAATATACAAATATTGTGTGTTTTTGAGAACTTGTGCTCTACTAAGCACTTAGGACTTAGGTATGAGAAAAAAGGGACAACATTGGCCTTACAGGAAATATGTGCAGGGATTCTGAAAAGCTAGAATCTCATGCTATGAAATAGGACAGAAGGAAGAACTGAAGTCCGTTGCCTGCTTTGTGGACTCTGCTCATGGGTCCATTCTTAGAGCATCTGTCTCTCGAACCCTAGATGTGTGTTTTGGACAAACTGATGGTAGAGCGACTGTCAGCGGAGAGAACGGAATGCCTGAATCGCCTGCAACAGCATGCAGCTGCTGAGAAGCAGGAGGGAGAGAAACGTCAGGTAAGAACCAGTGTCTGTCAGTCCTTCACTGCTGCTTCACCACGTCTGCCGAGCTGGTCCAGGTCTAGCCATGCAAACCGAGAGGCTGACAGTGTTCAGACCATTTGCATTCCATAGCCTGTTGTTTGTGTAACCCTAATAAAGTTAGGAGCAAAGGGCGTGTAGTCCTATTTAAGCTCGTTGTTGAGCCTGCTGGACAGTATACTGGAAAGGCCATCTTTGCCAGTCAGTTCTCTCTATTGGTCATTCTTCAGTTTTCTCTTCAGGAGTCTATTGCTTTTCCAGGCCAACAAATGGGACTGGTCCCTGGGAGTCAGTGAGAGCAGCCAAAAACAGTTGTTTGGAAAATTTGCAAGGTACTAGGCATCTGAGTTCTGGGTACCTAACACTTTTCTTACCTCCAGGGTACATGCGTACATGTTCACACAAATAGACACAGATTGTCGTGGTGGGTTGGGAAAGATGTACATGCCAAGGCACATGTGTAGAACTCAGGACAACTTGTGGAACTGAGGTCTTTAGACTTGGCAGCAAATATTATCACCACTGAGCCATCTTAACAGCCCATAAAATAAATCTTTAAGTAAAATTGTTTTTAAAAGATTATTTTGTTTATTTGTGTGTATGGGTGTTTTGTGTGCCTGTGTACCATGTGAGTGCCTGGTTCCCTTAGATTCTCTGTGACTGGTGTTAACAGACTGTAAACTGGTTGTGAGCTGACATCTGGCTGCTGGGAGTAGAACTCAGGGACAAACCATACTTCCAGATCCTCAAAAGTTCGCTCTTGGTGCTTTAATTCATAAGCCTCAGCAAACTCAACCTTCTGTGTGTTGTTATTTTAGATGTCTTTGGTGGATGAACTAAAAGCCTGGTGCATGTTGAAGATCCAGAATCTGGAGCTGAAACTTTCTGGAGAGTCTCGGACCTTTAGAGCTAAATCCACACCATCTCCCTCTGACTCCTCTCTAGGTACCTCACACTCAGAAAGTCTCTGAAAGATCCACTCCTCCTCCTTCCTGACCTGAATACTGTCCATACTCCAGAGCTGCAGCAAGCACAGTGAGGCTCAAATGTTAGGAAGTCTGAAGCAGGCAGGCGTGGCAGAGTGCAGAGTAAAACAAGGGATATTGACAACATGACCACAAGCAGCCTCAGGAGAAAAGGGCTTATTTGGCTTAAACATCCCAGGTCCCACTCCACTACTGAGAGAAGTCAGGGCAGGAGTTGAAGGTAGGAATCTGAAGGCAGGAACTGAAACAGACCTTGAAGGAAATCCTGGTTCCCAGCTTGCTCAGGTTGTTTTCTCATAGACTCCATGACCTCTTTCCCAGGAGTCATAGTACACACAGGAGGCTGGGCTCTTACACAGCAACCATTAATGAAGAAAATGCTCCCACAGGCCTGCTTGTAGACAATCTGAAGGACGTAGTCTCTCAGGTGAGGTTCCTCTTCCCAGATGACCCTAGCTTCTGTCAAGGGTCCGTGGATCTTGAAGATGCAGAGTGATGAGGGACCAGCTTTCTCCTAGGCAGGCCTTTGCCCCTTTTGCTCCTTCCAGTGGCCTCTTGCCTTTACTTAAACCTGCAAAGCTTTTAAGCAGCCATCAGTGTCCTGAACTTGCCCTAGGTGTTAAGACATGCTTTGCTCCGGGCAGTGGAGCCCGCCTTTAATCCCAGCACTTGGGAGGCAGAGGCAGGCGGATTTCTGAGTTCGAAGCCAGCCTGCTCTACAGAGTGAGTTCCAGGACGGCCTGGGCTATAAGAGAAACCCTGTCTCGAAAAAAAAAAAAACAAAACAAAAAAACAAAAACAAGACATGCTTTACATGATGACTCTTTAGCTGTAGTGAGTACACTTGATAATTTTCAAAACTAGCATGTGTCCATCGTAAAAAAAAAAATGGCTTCATTATATTTCTGCATACACGCATCGCCTCAGATTCCACCCGGTACCCTTCTGCTAATTCCTTTCCAAACAGCCCCTCTTCAGTTTTAAAAGTCTAGATTCTAGCTGGACATGGTGGCACACACCTTTAATCCAACACTTGGGGAGGCAGAGACAGATGGATCTCTGTGAGTTCAAGGTCAGCCTGCTCTACATTTCAAGTTCTAAAAGAGTCAGGACTATATAGTGAGACCTTGTTTCAAAAAAAAAAAGATTCTTGATTCTGAAGGTTCTGACTATGAGGGAAAACATGTATGACCTGCTCCTTTTTAGTCTGGGGTATTCACTTACCACTATAATCTCAGGTTGTATCCATTTTCTTGCAAATAATATAATTTTTCCTTTATGGTTGAATCAAATCCCATTATGTGTATAAACTGTATTTTCCTGACATGGTAATGAGGTCCTGCGGACGTCTTGACAGGTCAGGTGCTCACTGTAGCCCCGTCTGTTTCCACGGCTTTAGCTTTATGCCAGCAAGTTCATAAACATCTTGGGCCAGCTTGTCATGCTAGGACTTGCTATAGAATTGGCTATGGTGACTGGAACATAGGTCGAGGAGCTGGATGAGGAATGTGGCTTACCTTCCTCTCAACTCTGCTGTAACCCTAAAATCACTCCTAAGAGAGAGCTGCCTGTGGTGTGTGATGTCACATGGCTTTGTTCTCAGCATTCAGGAGGCGAAGGCAGGTGGGTCTCTGAGTCCCACTGCATTGTAAGACCCTTTCCCAAACAAAGAAAGGATCCAGAAAACAAATTGGTACACAGGTTTATGTCCCAGAAGTGAAGGGAGTGTCTTCCTCCTCAGCGATTAGTGCTCTTTCTGTGTTGAGACACTGTAAGTTTTGTCATCCTTAGGCGTTAGAAACAGGACCCAGAGACTTCTATGATAGGCAATACTGGAGAAAGAAAAGGCCAGAAATCTAGCCGATATGTTATTCCTATGGCTAACACAGAATCCAAGAGAGCCCTGATGAACTCAGATGGGAAACCTGGAGATAAAGTGGGAGGGAGGGAGAAAAAAGGTGAGGGAAAGCACGGAGAAGTGGGTGGGGTGAGTGGTGCCCAGCAAGCCTGAGGTTCTCAGGAGCCCCAGTCCTGCAGCTGGATATGGCTGTGTGCTGACATTTGTCTCTCCCTTGAAAACAGCTGTAGACCAACCAGTGGTAGCTGCAGAGCCAGGAGCAGCTTCCGACAGCTCCTCTCAGGTTGTAAGACCCAAGGACAAGGCACTCAATGCCACTGCTGCCCATAGACACCAGCAGGAGCTGCTTCCCTCTGACTGCACAGGCTCCGGGTTAAGGAAGGTCAAGGCCCCAGGTGCTTCCAGGTATGATCAGCAGACTGGGTCCTGTGTTAACCGAGGCACTCAAACCAAGAAGTCTGGGAGAAGCGGGCAGACCAGGCATCGAGGCCAGCAGCCGACAACCAGCAGCCTCAGTGGACAGCAGCCAGCAGCAGCCAGCAGCGATGCTCGAGATGCCTCGCAAGCCCTGGAGCTAACCCAGTATTTTTTTGAGGCCGTTTCTGCGCAGATGGAAAAGTGGTATGAACGGAAAATTGAAGAAGCACGGAGCCAAGCCAGTCAGAAAGCTCAGCAAGATGAGGCCACATTGAAGGAACATATCAGAAGTCTGGAAGAGGAGCTTGCCAAGCTGCGGACAAAGGTGCAGAAGTAAAACCCAGACCCTGAGGTGGACCCAACAGGGTTTCTGGCTTGATAATAGCAAAGTAACCATGTCCCAGGAGTTAGTTGTCATGCACAAGGTGGACTTGCCTTTAAGAAAGTCACTAATCTGTTGTGGACACATACTTCCTGTGCTCTGAAGTTACAAGGCCTTCACTGGTTAAAATGAATTCTGGGAAGATATTCACAAAAAGCAAGCCACACCAAGATGAGAAGTTGTGTACCTAAGTCTGCGACTCAATGACATGAAATATGTCAGAAGCAAAGCAGATAACTCTCTGGGAGTTCCAGTAGTCATTCGTATCTATGTTAACACACCGGCTGTGCCTAGACGGTCCTTCTAGCCGAGCTGGGACTCAGATGCAGGAAGCCCCTTTTCTCCCATGTAATGCAAGATGCTCATCTTTTAAAGGGGTGAAAACCTTTCAGACTTTGAGGAAATACATTGTAATGATCTCAGTGTCCAGTATGTCTTAAAATAAGTTTAAAGGTCATGTAATAAGGAGTAATTGCTGACTGTCAAATGAGAAAGGTTTAAAACATTGGTCAGTTACTGTGGTTTTAGCCAAATAACTGAGCATATTAATGGAAAAACATTCACCAAATCACTCCAGCCACTTACCTTAGATTACCTTTCTAAAGTCAAGACTTTTGTTCTGTGTTTGTAAGAAATAAGGCAATATCAGGAAAGTTTAATTTTTGAACTGACTTCTCATTGAAGAACACCAACCCATCAGAAGGCTTTGCTTGTTTACTGGTAAGATGTACCAGACTGAGGTGGTGACGATATCTTGGTTGGGACCTTGGATTTGTCTTCTAATCCTTTGGAACATATAACACAGATTATGTTCGTCTCCACATGATCCACATATGCATAGAAACTTGTGTTTCTCTAAGCCTAAGGACCTAATAACAACTGTCCATGTATTGTAACTAAGATGGTGTTCATTGAGCCAAAGAAGTGATCTTTGTGGAGTGTATGCATTTATCCCTTTGTCAAGCCAAGTTCTTCCTTTTTCTTATAGTGACAATCCATGGATATAGACACTCCTGTAAGCATAACAGGGTAGATATTGTGCGTACAGGATCTGGTGAGTCCAGTTATTTCATGGGACTGCCTGTCCTCAGCCTCTTGGGAGCCCTTTCCCTTCTCCTTCACTGGAGTCCTGTCCTCAGCTCACTTGCCCCTGAGCCCTGCTGTGACACTACCCTAAACAAAATGTCACCCACTCCTGTAGGATCATTCTTTATTTATACACCAAATTATTGGGAACTGCCTAATACTAAGAGATGAAACCCTGAGTTCAGCAAGTTATGCTCCAAGCAGGAGTTATTTTCGCTATTAGAATACTTATTACCTCAAGATACCCTTGACGAGAAATGCAGAAATCAACTGTAATTGAACATCAAGACTAGACCACCAAATATCTTGGTGGCAGTACTTTGATGATATACCTCCTACCCATGAGAAGCAGGCAGCTTATCACTGTGAATGGATGTTTTTGTAAAGTCATTAAGCATAAAGGCCAACTATTGAATAAGGCCAGTCAGCTCCTTACCCACAGGGCTGACTTCTAAGGAAGTGGTGGTTGGTTTGGTTTGGAAGGCTTTACTGTGTGCTCTACACTGGCTTTGAACTCATGATCTTCCTGTCTCAGCCCCCTGAGTTCTGGGATTAAAGGGTGAGCCCCATGGCCAATCATGTTTTGTTTGTAACACCAGTGTTAGGTTTGTTGCGATTGTTCCTTAGCACTGTAAAGCTCTGAAGATCAGTGTGTCTTTTCCCCTTGTGCAAAACCAAGCAAATATCCCAGCCGTACTTTTACAGATAACTGTTTATACCATACACTCTCACATAGCTCATGTTTCAAACTGAAGCCTAAAAAGTGTCAACAGCTGTGGAAAAATATGTTATAAAACAGTAATGTTGTATATTATCAATGTCCTTTCTAAATAACAAGTAATTGTCAGCACATCCCTTAGACTGTATACTGAGTATCTGTGACAGGTGAAAGTCTTAGTCTAGCATCGCTTTTGACTTAGGGAGTCCAAAAATACAGGTTTTTCATGTTTAGATTTCTGTGTGCAAGGCATGTTGTCTAATTTTTTTTTATCACCTTGAACATGTGTCTCCTATAAGCATTAAATGTTGTTTTCAGTTCTGTTGGTATTCTACTTCTTTATAGTCATTAGCTCTGTTCACTGCACTCAGGAATTCCTGAGAGCCTGTACTCAACCACTTAAGAGCAAATGCAGCCAGATAAACTCAACATCAGGTGTTTTCCATCAACACAAAGAGGGTGTAATCTGTGTGTTTGTGGGAAATCCTTTTATTTTTCTTAATTTTATTTATTTAATATACATGTGAGTGCTCTGATCCACAGGCCAGAAGAGGGCATCAGATCCCCTTATAGAGGGTAGTGAGCCACCACGTGGTTGCTGGGACTTGAACTCAGGACCTCTGGAAGAGCAACCAGTGCTCTTAACCACTGAGCCATCTCTCCAGCCCTGTGGGGACTCCTTTAACATTGTTAATGCAAGCATACTAAATCTACTAGGTATAAGACTGAATAGCACCTTGAAAAAAAAAATACAAAGCTGTGCATGGTGGCACAGGCCTTCAATCCCAGCACAAAGGAGGCAGAGGCAGGCAGGTAGGCAGTTCTGTGAGGGTTTGAGGCTAGTCTAGTCTAGAAAGCAAATTCCAGGACAGCCAGGGCTGTGACACAGAAAAACGCTGTCTCCCAAAAACAAAAGAATAAAGTGATTTGCAGTAACCACAAATGGTAAATAATCAAAGAGGCTTACTTTATGATTATGGGAAGGGGAAGTGAGTCCAGGTACCTGCTAGGCACTGGATTCGCTGGAGCTGCAGTAACAGGCAGTTGTGAGCTGCCCCAAGTAGGTGCTGCAGCCTGAAGTCTGGTCCTCTTCAAGAGTAGTAAGCTCTTAACTGTTGAGCTGTCTCTCCAGCCACTTAAACACCTAAATTTAATGTGAATATAATTTCTTAAAGTCCTGTGATTTCTGACTCCTTAGAGTGGCAATTTTTGTTTGTTTTTATCTCTTTGGGCCTGATTCTATAGACTCCTTTCCCAAGGCAGATGTGGGCTGCTTCTGTTTAGAATGGCCTTTCCTTAGTCACCCTGGTCTGCCTCCCTACTGTTCAGGCTTGACCTTCCTCCGTTGAGGCACACCCACAGCAGTGCTGTGTAGGAACTTGACATGTACAACCTGATGGCACTTTTTAACGGGAAGAACGACACAGGGTAAACTGCTAAACTGGTTTTTATCGATTATCTGTTGTGAAGCTTTTGTGTAAATTCTTTTTTTTCCACGTGTTAATCTCTTTTTAGACAGTTTCACTATGCAAATCTGGCTGGCCTAGAACTCAAGTCTGCTTGCCTCTGTCTCCTGAGTGCTGGGATTAAAGGTGTGTCTTTACATCAGGATTGTTGTTAGTTCACATGCATAAAGTCAATGATTCAAACATCTTAAATAAAATCCAGGAACAAGTTTGACATTCAGATAGAACACTACAGAAGATGCCCAGGTTATACAATCCTGAAATCCAAAAATAAAATAATAAAATAAAATGCCTTCATGACGAATAAAACCTCACCAGCAGTGCCATCTGGCCAACATCTTGATCTGTACCCTGGAAAACATTAAAAAAAAGAACCTCCCCACGACCCAGGCTCAAGTGCCAGCACCTACATGGCAGCTCACAACTGTAACTCCAGTTCCAAGGATCTGTCACCCTCACTCAAATATACATGCAGAAAAAACATCAGTGAACATAAATCATTTTTAAAAAGCAGAGTGGGGGGGGGGCTAACAAGATTTAGCCTATAAGCCAGAGGGGCTAATTACAGCTGATTGTGCAGAGTAGAGCTATCCCTCATAAATGTTTTTACCTGCTTTAAAAATAGTTAGGCAGGGTGTGATGGTGCACCCCTTTAATTCTGGTACTTGACAGAGGCAGGAGGATACGAGTTCAGGGTCTACATAGTCAACAAAATCAAACCTCAGTTTGCCCTCTGACAGCTGTATGTGCTTTAAAGAATTCTCTGTACAGCACTGCTAGTCCGTCGTCAGACCACCACTGTTCACAACAAGTGTTTAGTCTGAAGCTTTTAGACTTACTCAGGGTCTATATTAGGATTTGCATGTCAAGCAGACTACCAAGGGAACTAGTTAACGTCTTCTCTCTCAAGACTGTTGCTAGAAAACATGGTGGCTCACACCCACAATTCTGGCACTTGGAAGGTAGGGGAATTAGAACAGGAGACCCTGTTTCAAAAACAAAACCTGAACTGTTCACAAAGCTATTTTTGCATAAGCCATGTATTTGAAAAACAAAACTGACTTAAAAAAGCATTAGCTCATTCTTATGCATAAAGGCTCCAGGATGTGGTGTTGGGCTCTGGAACACAGACCAAGCACGTTTTGCACCACCTCTTCAGGCATCCCAGCACAGGATTCTAGTCACGGACTTCTGCTCACCGGGTAAGTTCAGATTCATAAACGAGCTTTCACTTTCATGTATTTCACTAAACTCTCAACTTTGTGACATGTTTCTCTTTTTCCAGTTTTTGCAGGAGAATGCAGAGTACAGGACCGTCTCATGATGATCATTCCAGGAGGATGTTAGGTGCAGGAGCTGAACTGCCCACCCAGTGTTTCCTCCTCCTCTGGTGTTCTTAGCTGTTTCCAAAGCTCCGTGCACTCTCAGTCCTTTGGCTATCAAATCATGTTACATCTGAAGAAAGTTACTTAAAACTCTGAAGGACAAAGCAGGTTTTTCTTTTTTTTTAAATTTTTTTTCAAAGCAGGTTATTCAAGTAAGTTCTAGAGCAGTTTCCAGCAAGTTCTCAACCTTCCTAATGCTGTGACCCTTTAACAGAGTTCTAATATTATGGTGAACAACAATCATAAACATTTTGTTACTTCATAACTAATTCTGCTGTAATGAATCATAATGTAATATCTGATACTCAACCCCTGTGAGAGTTCTTTGGCCCCAAAGGGGTCACGACCCACAGCAAGAGAATCACTTTTCTAGAGTGTCTCCTAGATTCAGTACACTGCCAGTCCTGTATGTTTCTGTAACAGCCTGAGATCTAGGCATTACAACATAGCATACTCTACCAGTCTATAAGTGGCACAGTGAAGTCCACACATACTCTGTATCTTGTTGTTAAACTGTTTATTGAAAAAGGCACAAAGATCTCCTGCTTCTAACCAAAAACATTTCAGTCATCTCTGTAGGGGAACAGAAGTCACCCACAAACCACACAAGGATCTCGGTCAGACAGGGATGGTTTGTTGAGTGCACACCTAGGACTGATCAATCAGGGCCTTGGCTCGGAATTTGGGGCTGTGGCTACAACCCTGAACATCTTTCTCTGACAGCTTATAAAGGCTAAAACTGCAAAAACTACAGTGAGCTCATACACAGGTGCAGGAAATGCTGCCTAGTGGAGCCATTTTAGACATTACAATTCATATTGATCTTCAGTTTGATGGGTCCTACATAAAGCTTTGTGGAATTTCTTAAGATTAACAAACCTCATACTAACAGGATATGTGATCAGCATGACCTTGCTCTGAGTCAACGTATTCTTCTGTGTCAATGACTGACAGGCATGTTACAGCAACAATATGAAATAGCTGGCAGGCATGGAAATGGCTACAGCTATGCTAGGGGGTTGGGGTTGCCAGGCCTCAACAATCTCCCCTGGACTGTAAACTCAGCTTCAAAGCATGAAACTGTATCAGTTCATGGATATTCTGAATTTAGTTACGAAGAATGCTGAATGTATGGTGGCACATGCCTTTAATATTAGCACTTGGAAGGCAGGGGCAGCCTGGTCTACAAAGTGAGCTCCAGGACTGCCAGGGCTACACGAAGACACCCTGTCTCAAAAAGCTAAAAAGAATGCTGGATGCTGAGCTCTGTAATACTGTTTTATAGGTAAGGCTTCAGTTCTCTTGGTTAGAGACTTGCTAAAGTATGAGGTAACTAACTGCCTTTCATTTTAATCACAGTTACTCAGTTTTTGGTTTGTGTGCCACAGTGTGGTATGGGTGTCGGAGGCCAACTTTCTGGAGTGGTTTTCTCTTTCCACCTTGTGCGTCCCAGGGATCAAACTCAGGTCCTTGGCAGCAAGAGCCTTCACACAGAGCCTCTTCCCCAGCCCAATCCTCACTGCCTTTCAAGAATTAATAATAGTCTGTTTTTCAGAGTGGCTGCCATGTCACCTTCCCACAGAGCAGTGTAGGATTCCAAGCCCTCATCTTGACACTAGTTCACGTTTTAATCAGTCATTGACTGTAGTGGAAATAGTAAAACACCTTGATTTACATTCTTGGTTGGAGTGATTATCGTCTTTTCATGGGTGCTTTGTGACAGTGGCTCAGAGTCTGTGCAAAACACACGGAGGTCTGAGAATCTTTCTGTTAAGATTTGGCTAAAGCAAGTGTCCTTTCTAGTTCCTTTAGCTGCATGTTGCCTTGGGTAATCATCATTCGGATTGCATCCTGTGGAGGAAAGGGGAATCTAGTCATTCTTTTACCAGGTTAACTGCGGCAAAGTTCTATCTGCTACATTCAAGAACCAACAGTGGCTGCTTACAGGTTGTAGCTGTGGGCTTACCATGCCCAAGGTGCTACATTCAATCCCATCACCAAAAGAACCCCCAACAATAAAACCAGTAGTGGGAAGTGGAAAACTAGCCTCTGCTGCAAAACAAATGTAAAATACCCAGTGGGAACTCAGCAGTGACCAAAATGACCCACAGTAGTGGCATATTCCAAGATGTTCGCTAAACTTTACAAATTCAATAATACAATGGGACAAAGGAGCCGTGGTGGCCCCAAGCGTGGTCTCCCTCTCACCTCTTCTGTAGCACTTTTATTTCTTTTAAATTCTTCCCTGGCCCAGTCCTGAAGGTATTTTCGGTCAGCATCACTTGGAACTTGCTTAATCGCTCGCAAAATCTTTCTGTAGAGGAGGAGAACTTGTTGTCTTCTCATGAACTGCTCAGGGAAGGGGAAATACAAATTACTACATACCCGCCGGCTCCACCTCTGCAAAGAAAACTAAGCAGAAACGCCCCTTTGGACCTCAATATCAAACAGAACAAGACAAAAATCAAAGTTCAGGCCGGCGGTTTGCGTGGGAAGGGCACACCTACCACCCCCGCCCGCGGTGGCTGTGGTGAGCCAGGTCGCAGGGAGAGTGCTTCATAAGATCACACAGGAGACAACTCCTCACGAGCGGAGCTCCCGCCGCGGGCATCGCCAGCCTCGGTCTAAACCGACGCGGTCAGGAGCCCGGGGCCCGCGGGGCTGGGAGAACAGCGGTACCTGCTTCAGCGTCAGGGCCGCGGGAGGCAAGCGGGAAGCCGCCATGTTGCCTACGGAAGCCGCTGGGGCACAAGAGGGGACGTGAACCTCGAGCACCTGGACACGGAAGCGGAAGTAGGGGACGGGCGAATCTGGTTTCTAGGAGACGGACGCGCAAGTCTCGGGTTTCAGCTGTTACCTGTGGTTTTACGCCGAGAGCGCTACAAGGAACTCGGCACCATTAATCGTTTTAAGGGAGGGGAGAAATTGTGTGCTTTTTGAGCACCCTTGATGTGTGTAACCGAATAGACCGTCATTACTCTAGCAAATTAAATTCGCATCCTGGAAGCTTTTCTTTTTCTCTAAACCTTATTCCATAGTAAGCAGGTCACCTCGATCGTTGCGGCTCAGTGCACTCCCCCTACTATGAGGTTTCTCACATTTCTTTTCCTTTTTTTCCCTTGTCCCCCACACCACATACTCAGAAGTCAGGTTACTGAATCTCTGCTGGATCATTTTCTGAGTAGTACTAAGTGAAATCAACGTAGAACCAAAAATGTCCAGCTATGCAGTACTGAGCATCTGATTGCTTCGCTTGTAATCTAAATGCTCAACCTTCCCAGCTGTGTTCACCTCGCTATGATTTCGTCTCTGAACTGTACAGTGAAACGGCCTCTCCCTCCCAAGTGTATCAGAACAACTCCAGACGCATGTAATTCTAATTCTCAGTGTTTAATTTCTCAGGAGATATGAATGATGCTTCTCGTGTTTTTTTTTTCAATTTTTCTCTAATATGGAACCTTGAGGACCACACCTGTATCATCATGTATGGGGGCAAAGCACCTTTACTGTCTGAGCCATTTCAGTGGCCCTTGGATAATTTCTTTATACAGAGCTTTAACTCATTAACGTATTTGCTTCTTTTGAGACTTTACAATTTTATCTTCTTCTCACAGCTGTTGTAAAATTGTATTATTCTGATCAATTTTCTATTTACTCCATCGAAGTTATTTTCGTTATGGCACAATATGGATCTGAGTCCTTTTCCAGCCACTAGACTAAGAATTCAAGATCATTTATTAAATAAGTCATGATTTTCTCTGGCCATTGTAGCAATCTTTTTGACCACAGGGTCTTTTAGGATCTGAATAATCTGATCAGTCTTGTTTTATCTTGGACAAGTATCGAGCTATACAGTTTGTTTTATCTTGGACAAGTATCAAGCTATACAGTTTGCTGTTTTGTTGTTCCGGCAGATCCAGCAGTTTCTTGTTAGGATATTTTATTATTGTTTTCTATGACCCTTGGAGAGGCACTGAGCCTCTTTCCACATCACCTGGGGATATTTATAAGAACTCTGAATTAGTGCTGAGTCTAAGTTTGGCACGGAGAGAACAGGTATTTTGTACATTCTTTTCTCTACATTCATGGTAGCTGCAGGCAGTGTTGTCATACGGATATATATTCCCTGTCTCAAAGATTTATATTTTGAGTAGGAAAGCTTTGAAGGTCAACGCAGTGTTACTCAATTAACTGAGAGTAGGTTCTTGCCCCAGATAAACTCTCAGTGCCAAAGCTTGAGATACAGCGTTTTTAAAGACAAAAGACACAATGATATCATTGTCAGATGTAAGTCAGAGGAACCCGGTAGCCTTTTTTTTTTTTTTTTTGACTATACAACCAGAAGATATTTTGGTTATGTATCTGAGCCATGGAAAGTTCCAAATGTGTTGCCACAGTAGATGTGACTGTTCAAGGGGTTTAAGGGACTAAATATGTGCCTGAGTGGACACAAAATGAAGTCAGAGTAAGGTCACTTAGTTTCTCATTTCTTTGATTTTTTGTTTTTGTTTGTTTTTGTTTTTCGAGACAGGGGTTCCCTGTGTAGCCCTGGCTGTCCTGGATCTCACTCTGTAGACCAGGCTGGCCTCGAACTCAGAAATCCGCCTGCCTCTGCCTCCCAAGTGCTGGGATTAAAGGCGTGCGCCGCCGCCGCCGCCGCCCGGCTTCGTTTCTCATTTCTTTTAATGACTTTTAAATATTTGATTTCTAAGAAGGGTCAGTGTCTTAGAGTTTCTATTTCTGCCCAAAACATCATGACCAAGAAGCAAGTTGGGGAGGAAAGGGTTTATTCAGCTTACACTTCCACATTGCTGTTCATCACCAAAGGAAGACAGGACTGGAACTCACACAACGCAGGAACCTGGAGGCAGGAGCTGATGTAGAGGCCATGGAGGGATGTTACTTACTGGCTTGCTTCCCTGGCTTGCTCAGCTTGCTTTCTTATAGAACACAGGACTACCAGCCCAGGGATGGCACCACCACAATGGGCTGGGCACTCCCCACTTGATCACTGAGAAAATGCCTTACAGCTGGATCTTATGGAGGCATTTCCTCAAGGGAGGCTCCTTTCTCTGTGATAACTCCAGCTTGTGTCAAGTTGACACACAAAACCAGCCAGTACAGGCAGGTACTGGTTCTTCGGGATCATTAGACCAACAAGGAGAATATAAGGACTTGTGGGGCCCATGAGTAAGGTGTCAGCCATGGATTCCAACCAAGCCAGTTATGGAAGCAGAGATTATTGGCCTTTTAAAATTTATCATTTGTAAGAGCCAACTGGTATTTAGATGCATAGTTAGGAATAACTCCATGAATAAATGAGATGATATTTTAGAAAGCTTTACTTTTAGATATAGCCATTGAGACTAGCCCCACAGGAATCATCATAACCAATATGACCTTGAGTCTAAGTGGGGGAAGGGATATCATGATTCCCAACTCCACATTTCTGCTTAGTTTCAGCTGGGTGAGCCCACTGGCTTCCAGCTTTGTAGCCAGAGCAGAGTTGGAGAGCCGGTCCCTGTAAGTCTCTGGAAGATGAGACTGCTCTGGGTGGATCTTCACAGTCTGGGCTTCCTCCTTCTCAGGTGGTGGTGTTTTCTTTACTTGGATGTGGTGGATGTATGGGGTGACACCTGTCCCTTAGTATTTAGGTGTTGTCCATGGTTAGCCATAGCTGACTAGGTGAGGGTCCCATAACAGTTGGGTGGCAGGCTTGTATCAACTGCATTATGTCAACTTGGGAGATATCGAGGGCAGAGAAATTTGTCTCTGTTGTTTGACACACTTAGGATACGGGCAAGAGAACCCTGTCACATGAGACATGAGGAGTAATTTACCTTTTCTTATAGATAAGGAGGGTTTCCTGGTCTGACTACATAGTGGAGACAGGAGCAGCAGACATCTGGCATGTCTTATTCCCATGCATCCTTATCCTATAATGAGGCCAGCATGCAATCCTCGGATGAGTTCTGTGCCCCATCTACAGGAATTACTTCAGCCTGGGGATATCCTGCCATTCAAGAGTATTGTAAGCTTAACATTTTCGACTAAACCCATAAAATCTAACTTTATCATACAAAACCCATGCTTATCAAAAATACTTTAAAAACCCTTTTTTATCAGAAACACAATCTGTGGTAGTTTGAATAAGTATGGCTCCCATAGTCTCCTATGTTTGAATGAATGCTTGGCCCATGGGGAGTGGCACTCTTAAGAGGTATGGCCTTTTTGGAGTACATAAGGCCTTGCTGGAGGAAGTGTGTCTCTATGAAGGCAAGCTTTGAGGTTTCTATGCTCAAGGGATGCTCAGTGTGACTAAGTCTGCTGCTGCCTGTGGATCCCGAGATGTCGAACCCACCTGGGGGAACACCAATTAAACCTGCATTTATTCACTTTTACTCTCGTCTGATCTGGCCTATATTGAGCTGGCAGAAAGCCCCCTTGTGTGGTGTGACCTTTGCATACAGCGTTCCCATCCACCAAAGTACTCTTCTGGAGAAACCCTAAAAACCTGTATAGACTTAGGGTGTCAACCTGTTACAAGTTTTAAGTAGACTTTTTCTCTTGGAATTTTACGGATTTTTATTTTTTAAAAACATTTATTTATTTTATGTACATGAGTACACTGTCACTGTCTTCAGACACACCAGAAGAGGGCACTGGATCACATTACAGGTGGTTGTGAGCCACCATGTGGTTGCCGGGAATAGAACTCAGGACCTCTGGAAGAGCAATCAGTGCTCTTAACTGCTGAGCCATTTCTCCAGCCTGGAATTTTACAGATTTTTAACCCTCACCTCACCCTACAGTGTTGTAGATTCTGAAAGTGTATTTCAGCAAAAACTCGAGATACCAATGACCTTGAATGGAGGACGCTTCTTGTAAACAAGACCCAAGAGGGAGGAAAGTACTCAGCTAAACCACCTGCAATTACATAAATACCTTTTTAACTTTAGCTGTTTTTATGTCCACAAAGTCCCCCACCCCCAGCCCCTTGTAGGTTTATACTTTTCAAAATCTACTTTAATAAGGAATCTTAAACACAACAACCTCCCTTACAGCCGCCGACCAAAGGCAGGGGAGGAAGATGGTTAATAGGACAAGGAGGACATGGACCTGTTTAGAAGTAGGTTTTTGGGGCAAGTCCAATCTTTGTTGTCTGCAGTTCAGTCCACATGGCTTATCAGCACCCGCTTGATCCAGAAGAAACGAGTCTGCTGAAGCAAGAAGCAGCCATAATGCCCCCAGAAAAGTTCTTTGATGAGTTTCTATGAAGTCACGACAAGAGACTATCAGTGGCAAGGACCAATGCCATAGCGTCCTCAGTGAAGACCAGTGTCAGCGAAGCCCAATGAAGACCAGCAACAATGCCAGAGCCCTGTCCACTGTCGGGTTATACTTACACTCTTTCCAAACATCAAGTATCTTCTCCAGCCAAACATCACATGCCCTTTCACCAGACAGCTCCCCCAAAAATACCACCTGCCTGTTCTCACCAAAACATCCTCTCATAAAACAGCTTCCAGAAAAATACACATGACACAACTGAGTCTCCAACAAAACCAGAAATTCCCACTTCAACCCCTCAACTTGGATCTGAAGTCAGGGAGCCAATTTGGATTTGAAATAGAAAGTGTTAGTATTCTGTTTAAACTCCACCTCCACAGTTATCTGGCAACAGCCAGGTATGCTCCTCCCCACAGTTACCTGGCAACAGCCTGCCCACTATA